GGGGGGTTTTTTGCTCCGCCACTGAGCAGCAGTTAGAGGAAAAATAGATCAAATCCTGCAAACTTTCCTTCCCTACAGAGTTGGATTTCCCCTTCAGCCACTAGATGATGCTATGCATATAGAGATCTGCAGCACCATCGGAAAATACATCTTCTATAGATGTTACATAACTCACTTCTTCTCCCCACAGAGGAGACATTAGTCATATGCTAATGACTAATAATTCTGGTCATGAGGTTTGCCGGGGAGTTCATGAGCATAGTTAAAGCTCTGGCGGTACAAACGATCCCACCGAAATATATTGGCACACATTCAGAGAACGGACATTCAAATGTATATTATCTGAATCAAGAGTTCTTCATGATCTTATTTTAAGTTTGAATTAAAATCCATTCATTCAATTCGGTTTTGTACTCCTCAAAAGATGCTTCAATGCATTTTATACTCTCAGTATACCGCGAGCTGTAGCTCCCTATATACTGAGCCTAGGGTGACGGGAGGACGCTAGTTTGTGACCTCCCGTTACCCTAAGGAGAACTATGGGGAAAAGCCTTAACCCCCCCATAGTTCTCCTTTAACCGGAATCTGTATTGGACCGAGAGCCCGACAGTGTCAGGAGAGAGGAGGGGACCCGGCGACACACCTCACCCCGCCGGGTGAACGTCCCCTCCTCTCTCTGCCGGCGTCTATGACCAAGATGGCCGCCGGCAGGCGTCAATAAGATGACGCGCGGCCTCGGGGCGCCTCTGCCGCTCACAGGTGTCATATGCTCCTGGCCACCATTGCTGGTGAGAAGACTTGCGCTCTCCAGAGAAAAGTGATTTATGTCATGCTGTGCTAGGGGAGGCCGTATAATAAGAAAGAACAGGAGCACTGATAAGTAACGTCTACCTGAAGCTAAAGCTTTTATTTCTCTTTTGGATGGAGCAGGAAAGGACAAGTAACCCTGTCAGTTCTTTATTGTTTGTGTCTGGAGAGATTATCCCTCTCTAATTCTCCTGGTGGCCAGTCACCAGAACTGAAAGTGGTGGGAAGTCCGCTTGCGGTGACAACTAAATGGGGATTTCCCTAACTTTGGAGAGATTCCCTGTAAGAGACTTACCTGCAGATTGACTCCTGCCCAAAACCGTGCACCAGCATGCAATCCACTGCTGAAATTACCTGGAAAACGCACTTTAGCACGTGGACACGTGCATATGGGAACGTTTATGCGCAATAGTGCGCGTACGTGAGCGTATGAAGGCACATTCTTTAGCGTGCACACTATCCTATTTAAACAGACGTGAAGCCATGACCAAGTTGCTGAGTGGTCTTCAGCTTGTCCCTGTGTGCCCTGTACTCTGTTCCAGTGTCCTGATTTCCTGTGTATGAACCCGGCTTGTGACCGTTTGACTCCGCCTCCTCCCCCCGATTGGGTACCTCTGCTCTCTGATTTCCTGTGTATGACCCCGGCTTACGTTTCCTGACCCTCCTCCTGATGTGCGATTCGGCACCTCAGGATTCGGCTCCCTATGTATGACCTCGGCTTGAACCTGACTTCCCTCCTGGTCTGCCACTTGATGGATCGCTCCATCAGCATCCTGAGCAACGACATCCATCCAGTGCTTCCTCGGCCTCACACCCGTTGCCTGCTCTGGTTTCAAGAGGTCCCGGTGTCATCCCGGTCCTGCCGATTCACCAGCTGGTCCAACGTACTCAAGCGCCTCCTCAGGAACCGGCCAGCCACCAGTATCGGCACCTGTGCTCCGCTCAGTCCTTACTGACATACAGAGAAGGGGACCAAAGGCCATAAGTCATTAACCTCCCTGGCGGTCTGTTTATTTCCTTTTTTTTACTTTTTTTGTTCTATTTTTTCCCCCCCGTTATTTTTACTTTTGAAATTCCCGCCGGTTCCGCCCCCTTGCGATGCAGCCGCTCGCAAGGGACGGAACCAGGCATCGGCCGGAGGACACAGCGAGGCTCAAGGGACAAGGTAAGTAACACTACGCTGTAATCCCGAGTGTGGCTTGGGAATACCGCCAAGGAGGTTAATGGCATCTAGCGTTGCCCTCATGGCGTTCCGCTCAGCATAAAAAATGTCCTTTTCTTATTGTTGCGTCTACACCGAGATGGACATCCGAGACTTTTTGTCATTCGCGAACGTGTCCCAAAAACCTTGCAAATTATTCTGGTAGCAAAAGCAAATCCTTATTAAACAGTCTGTCCTTGTACATGACAAGTGACCTTATTAGCCTTCCACTAATTGCAAACATTGTATATCCAAGGGCACCGCGTGATCCACCAATAAGTCCGCTTGTTGACAATATCGCTAAATGTATCTTGATTCGTGTTGTTAGTGAAGGACAGAAAATTGACACGCATCCTGAAACACAATACTCCCATACTGCACATCCATACTGTCTATTATATGTGTTTACAATGAGCTTGGCTCTGCATTGAGAACGGAAAAACCAAAGGGA